TGCTGATTGGTTTTGCCAATTCCGTGTACTTCTTGTCCGAACGTCTTGGGCGCCTACTATCCACTTGATACTGCTCGTTCGAACGGCGCAAACACTGTTCACTTGACTGACGCAAATCCCCTTGATTTTCGCGCTTTGATTGGTGTCGTGGTTCCAGGGGTCCACTGAAATGCTTTGCCCTGCCGAAGTGTGTGAAAGAATGGCCGGCAGCGATCCGAGGAAGTCTAGCCTTGACGCGAAGAGCATCATCTTCCATCTTGCAATATTCCTCAGCTTTCTTCATCAACGCCCAGACTATTTTGGGAGGACGTCTGGTCAACGAGCTTTGGAAAGGACTATCGGGATGTAACCCTATTTTGAAGGGAGTAATGGCCATGGAATCGTTGCAGGCATCGTCCACCAAGTTGAAATACTCCCAGTAGCGCGCCGAATACTCATGGAGGATCTCTTCTGGTTTAATTTGCATCACCCAAAGAGAGTTAGCTTGCTTTGGCTGAATCTCGTTGGTGATGAATCTTGCCCTGAAGGACTTTTGGAGCTGATGAAAACTTTTTATTGACACCAGCTCCAGTTTATAATACCATCTAATGGCGAAAGGTCCCTAGCTACTTGGAAATATTCGACACATGAAGGATTCATCATCAGCATGCAACGTCATCGCTTGCTTGCAATGACGAATGTGATTCGTAGGGTTTGACTTAACGTTGGTGCTTTAAACTTTTTAGGCAATACAGTCTTTGCAATGCGTCGTATAAAAGGATTATGTTTGTCTTCATCGGAACCATCATTTCCCTTCCCTTCCCTTCCCTTGCCTGTGCCGTACATACGAACTTCCTTCGGATGAGTTGGACACATTAGCTCGTCCCTTCTTCCTAGGCTCCTGGGATGACGAGTTGGAAGTGCTTCCACTACCAGATTTCCGACGCCGACGCTGACGCTGACGCCGTCGATCACCGTTCTTCTCTGGCGACCGACCTCGGTCATGGCGTGGTGTGGTTGGTTGAGATTTGGCTAACTCAAGGGCCAACTCCTTACGCAAATGTTCGTTTTTAGCCGCCATGTCTTCCAGACATTCTTCGTTTCGTTTTGCTTGATCCATGATCGTCTACATGGTTTCCTGCATCGAGGTTAAAAGTGAAGTTTGAGTCACTGGGTCGAAGTTCAGGGCCCTTCGCGCCATGATATTCTCCGGACCAAGCATGGTTTTTGGAGTAACATCATCTCTTGGTGTAAGAACATTAGCAACGAGTAGAGGATCATCTGTTATGTCTGCTATACACACGTTTGAGTATTCCCACAGACGGCGCCAATTGCGGAAATGTGGTTTGGAAATACCCTTTGGCCCAAGCAGACTCTCTTGATCCTCGAGTTTGTACCTGAAATGGAAATGAACAATCCAGTTGGGGGTGCCGGAATTAGCACTCCGACGAGCAAGTTAATATACACTCAAGTCTTTCTTATATCTCAAGTTATCTTTTTCTTACATCCCTCCTCTCTGGCTGATGCTCCTCCTCTTTTATATTACTCTTCTGTGGCCCATTTTTTGATTATGGACACCCTGCCCTGACAGCTGGATTCCCAATCATTCGGTAGAATTTATGGCCTATTCGGCCCTCAATCTAGTTCTATTCGGCCAAGGCCGGCCCACTTCACTCGTCTTTTTGGCAATCTTATCCCGAGGGTAAAGCCATTACGAGCCGACTTATACACGACTCCTATTTGTGTACGGCATATAAAACTCGGCTCCCACACCCACTGATTAGCCTAAAAGAATCAGGCTTACAAAATCCATGCTTTAGTATATCTGTGAGATGGTCAAGCAACACTAAATAAGTTTTGTTAAGCATAAGTAATTATAGCAAGCAAACATGTTAAGGTTGTGAATAGTATAAGGAAGTGGTTGGATGGGACCTTCAGGGATGACGGCTAGCACTAAGATGGCAAGGAATCATTGAAGATCAAGGAGGTGAGATTTCGGACAACAGTAGGTGAGTGAGAAGAGGGCAGTGGAGAGGTATTGCTCTTTACTAAAGACAAAGAAGACAATTAGGAATGTTTTAACATATGCATAAGAGGCTTCTCTGGACAAGTGACTCAACCTCATTGGTTGACAACATAGAGGTATCTCAAATGCCATTGCCTCCCATGGTCAGATCAGGAAGTGGGTGTCTTATCATGGGAGAGTTGTAGTGGTAGGTATGGTACACATAGGAAAATTTATTAAAAAACAAAAAACAAAAAACAAAAAATAAATTTTTTATTTTTGACGTAATATAAAAATGTACCAAATTAGGTACTAATTAATCAACTTTCATTAATGAAATAACTTTTTCAAAATTTAAAGTGAAGAAAATGACAAAATTACAATTTTTATGTTTATAAAGGCAAAAATGATAATTACACAACCAAAAACTATTTTACAGCTTATTTACCAAAGACTACAATGCTACTAAAATCTATAATCTCGCAGCTACATCAAACAGGTTACCAAATTATACTCACAGCTGTAAGTTATAATTTATAATCATTTTCTCACAGTTCTACGAAACGAGGCCATAGTCCTAAATTAAAATTGTTGTAGGAGTTGTTGAAGATGATGCCAAATGCCAAATAGAACGAGAAAACTCTCTTTATCCTACGACAATAAATTTCTACAGGGTACTTCCATTATAATATTTCTTGAATAAAGTATATGATCAATTTTGAAGCCTTATCTAGTGCACCTGTGAAAATGCTCTGCTGACTAGAGGATTGATTTTCATTCATTAGGCCGATGTGAAACTAAGAAGTGATATGTGCCTAAGCTAGCATGCCTTCCAGTTTGACCCAAAACTGATTAAATTGTTGATCAGTTTAGTTATTGCTCCAAGTCTAGTTGTTGTTAAACGTTATTGAAAGAAATCAAGGTGCGGTGCCTACTGCCTATCAGCCCCTGCCAAATGGTTGGTCTTGTGCATGAATCTATTTTTAAATTTCCTCAGTACGCAGCTGGATCACCTATTCATGCAGTACAATTAAAGATAACCTTTAAGAAAACTTTGTTAAACTGCCAATTAGAATACCAGAGACATCATAATAAAGCTTGAGTTATGAATTATCACATGTCCCATCAACACAATATGATTCAACTTACAAAAAACAAACCCAAAAGATAGAACATAAAAATAATAACTAATTACACAATAACACATCAGCTAGGCCATTAATCAAACAGTTGCATTGCACTACAAAAAAATGTGACTCCTTCAAACTAAAACACTACGCAAAAGCTGGGTTCTCCATCTTTTTGTCTTGTCATGGAGCTGACAAACAGATTTGATGATGACATTCCAGATCCAACTCATTCCCACAAAAGATATGAGAGTTCTTGGCATAAACATACACAGATCAGTTGGATATTAACACAGGATTGCAATAATTGTTTTTTTGAAAATCACAATGGGCATCAAATCATTTGTGCTTACCTCTTATGAGACATATTGTTCGAGCCTTGGATAATCCATGGCGGGGACTTCAAATATGCAAGCTGAGTTTCCTCGCATTTTGGAATGTGTTGATGGATACAATTATATGAGATGCTCTGCTAATTCGATAAATTGATGATTACCGCAGATTAAGCCGTGTTTAATTGACTTGAATTGAAGGGTGAGTTAAGTTTTTTGGCAGTAATTAATGTAACAATATGAATAAAGAGAAAAGCTGATGACATCACATGAATAAGTATAAATTATTATCATTATTATTTTTTGTAAAAAAGTTATCATATAAATTCATAATATCATAGTGTAAATATTTGTAAATTTAACATTTAACAATTGACATTTATTTAAAGGTAAACATATAATAACTCTGGTAATTTTAACATAAGTACATCAAATTATTTTTAATAAGGTTAAATGAATTAAAATTAATATAAATAATATGAAAATATAATAACAATAAGAAAAAAAATATATTTTGTGTAAAAAAATTTCATCAAGACTTCGTTTGAGAAGTGACTTGATTTTTAACTTTTTGGCTATTGTCTAAGCTAAAAGGCCTCATTTAGGTTGGGCATTTATAGCTTTTTTAATTTTTGTAAGTGAAAAAATAAAATGATTATGATTTGTATGTGACATAAATCTTTAGGAGGTCAATATAATTTACCTAAATTTTAAAACACAAAAAAGTATGATGGTGAAATAGAATATCAGATTATTTCAAATTTCAAAATTTTTAAATTATTTTCAAAATATCAAACCAAACAATTTTTTATTTTTTTTAAACTCTTTGTGAAAAAAACTAATTTTCAAATATACCTCAAAATACAAACCAAACAAAGGCACGTGGCCCTATTTGTTTTCAGAGGTAGAATGGAAGACATTCATAGAGAGTGAATTAATAGTGAAGGGATTGTTAGTGAGGGGATTAAGTAAAATTGTGTTTGTTTTGATGATAGTTGTCAGTGTAGGAATTGTTAAATTATTTTTATATAAAATCATAAAACAAATAAAAAAATATAAAAAATTAAACATTAATATGTTAAAAAAAAATTCTCAATATATAAAAAATAAAAAAATTTATAATCCTCTCACTATTTTTCTAATATCATCTCCACCTCCTCCATCTAAATCTCCTTTCCAACCTCCATCTATATCACTTAGCCTCCGTTTGGGAAGTGTGTTGGCTTTTTGGCTTTTTTGGCTATTTTAGCCTGGGCTAAAAAGCTTGGTTTGGGAAGGGCTTTTTGGCTTTTTGACTTTTTGGCTTTTTTTTGTGAGAGAAGAGTGTAATGATTATGGGTTGGATGTGATGTTTTGTTTGTTGTGGCTAAAATAGCTTGTTTTGTCTTTTGTGGCTATTTTAGCCCCAACCCACTTGCCAAACACCACCTTACTCTATCATAATTCCTTCTCTAACTCTAAAAACAAACACAATACTATATATAACCCCACCTCTCTCCCAATATCCCCCATCTATTTAACCCCAAAACAATGGGGCTATATTTTTATCAAACTTGGAAGGAGGTAGTGTTGTAATTTACAGAATTAAATTTCATCATATTTCGTAACTACAGATGTAAGTGTAATTACTTCAAATTCACTGTAAGTGCTGTATTTTGTCAATTATTAGGTGACATCAGTGCTATTTACCAAAAGTATGATATGGTTCACAAAACTCGCAAAATTCATCTGTAAATTCTAGGGTTTTCTTCAGATTCTGCGACTCTGATCCGATAAAAATCAATCAATCACCACTTGACCAAAATCAAGGTTACACAGAAGGATGGAGGAAGAAGAAGGAGGGTTGAGGCTGAGCAAGAGGTTCTCGGACAAAGGCGGTGAGGTTGATTTCAAGACCAAATCGGGCACAGCATGGTCTCACTCTTACCTCAACCAGAAGCCATGGCACCCTCTCTCCTACCCCAACCAGCGCCGCAAATGGATCGCCGAGCAGACCCACGTCCAGCGCGAACGCCGCGCCGAAGAAGTCGCCCGCGAGGTTTCTTTTCTTTTCTTTTTTTCCATCATATTTTCTCGTCATTTTCCTTCAATTCAATTACCCATTTCTCAATTTTCTTCAATTCAATCACCCGTTTCTTTGTTTTAACTATCTTCCCCAAAATCTATCTCTTTGCAGTTTGCACATGAGCAGGAATTCTTCCGCCAGGCTGCTCTTGTCTCCAAGAAAGAGAAAGAAAAGGTAATCACGTATACCCAGATTTAAGTTCACATAAATGTATGTATATGTGATTTCACTAGTTACTTTCGATTTATTGGATATATGGAGACAATGAATGCTGTTAGAGTTTCTCTAAATTTGATGAATAAAGAGCTAAAAGTAAGCTCTAATCATTTCATTGAACTTGTATCAAATCAGAGCATAGGCGAAATTTTTACCAAATAAAGGATGAACCAAATCCCTCATCAAAGTTCCAAAAAGTCATATAATTACGAAATTTTGATTTTGATAAAATTTTTAGAAGAGCAAAGATTGGAGATGATTTTCTTTCATAAAAATGGTTAAAACGGGGTTTTAAGATAAGTTTGTAACTTTTCAAAAAGATTTCTTGAAAAAAATTAGGAAGGATTGGAGTGCTCCATACCAGATCAATCTTTTAACCAAATTTTTACTCAAATTTCATGAAAAAAGAGAGTAAGGATCGGAAATGCTCTTGGATTTGAATGTGTTCTAACACACTTTCATGAAGGATCAAGCTATTGACGTGGTGGTGTGTGTGACTTGGTGTATAGATGGAAATGATGAAGGCTGTGAGCTTTATGTATGTCCGGCCACCGGGTTATAATCCTGAAAGTGCCCAAGCTGCTGAAATTGCTGATGAGAGGAAGAACCAGGAGCAGAGCAACCCCCAGAAAGACCCATCTGTGGGTGGAGCATCAACTTCAATGTACTAACGCGCACATGCATAATGCATCACAAATACGTAGTTGTGTTTATTTTTTACATCGAATTAGTGGTTAAATAGTTAGCTTCTATTTTGTGGGAAAAAATAATAATGGTCATTTTGTAGGCCATTGGAAGGCATGCCTGGCAGAGACCGTCCACGTGATGAGAAAAAGAAACCAAAGCCAAAAGATGTTTTTGGTCGAGCTTTACCAACTGAAGAACAATTTGAAATCCTTAAAAATGCTCCAAGGTATGTCTAAAGGACAATCTTGTATATCTGCAAATTGTAACTAGCTTTCTTTTAACTTGAAGAGAATGTGAGATCAACATCAATGAGATCAAGGAAATCTTAATTGCCTACTACTTGTTAGCTAGATGATTTTTATTTTTATTTTTATTTTTATTTTTTGCCATTCGGTCAATTGTATTGTTCTCTTTAGTCATAGGGCTCGTAACTTCTCTCATTGAATCAGCCAGAATTATTTATGGCTTCTCTTGCTCTTGATTCCTTGTAGAACATTCCATCAAAGTCAAATCACTTATTTTGACAAAACATTCTGTTAAGTGGGGAAATCAAAAGTTGATACACATTTCATTCATCTTTTTAGACATGGTCAAACCTATGTTATGTGGAATTGAGTGCATGTATTTCCTGGGGGTATACATCTACATGTAAAGCCTCCTTGAACCCCAAATTTCATATTCAATAATATGCATGCGAGGGTTAAATAATGGTAGATGGATACATCCTACACATTCAAATTTATTGTCTTATTTATAACATCATGATGTATGACATTAGTGTTTATGGATATACTTGAAATGAAATGGGATATAGAGGGAAAGGGATCTCTCCTTGCCCGTTCTTTTTCTTCCATAATTGCATGCAAGAGAATCCATGTGTCCAGTTTGGGTACGTTTGTTGAAGACATGTCCTACACCATTAACCATGTCATGCTCTGTTGACACAAATACCTTGGGGGAAACAATAGAATCCAAGCAACAGTGTCGAACCATCTAAGATGAATGTCTTTCATTTTATCATCTATAGGTGTAATCTCTAGTTTCTCACAAATGCGTTAGTTTTTATTCTGTCATTTTGTGTTGCCGCTAGCTATTACACTTCATCATTTTTTTTATTTTTGATTTTTTATTTTGATGCTTTTTTTTTTTTCTTTCTCCAAATATGTTTTTGTTTCTATTTTAAATGGCTTGTCATTTTCTACTAATGTCGTTGACCTCAGTGTGGTCTTATGAAGGTGCTGTTTGGTGTAGCTGTTAAAATAGATTATAGATTATAGCTTAACAGATTATAGATTATGACTTTAATCAGAAGCTGTTAATCTGTTTGGTATAGCTGTTGGATTATAGATTTAAGTTGCAGAGTAGTGTTTGTTAAATAAGCTGTGAAGTAGCTTTTTTAATTAACTTTTATTTTTTATTATTCATTATTTGTCTACATTTCTCATAAAAAATAATAATAATATTTTATAGTCTATTTGTGTCTTTTTCTATTTTTAAAAAAATAAAAAATAAAAAAATCTAAGAGTATAACCGTGAATTAATATGTCCATAGCAAAAGCTGATAATTAGAAGCAAGGGGTGAGCAGCTTCTCAGAATCAGCTTTTTTCACTTCAAATAAGTTATTAGAATCAGAAGTTGTTTGAAATAAGTTTAATCAAACAGTCCAAAATAACTTTTTAAAAGTCAGAAGTCATAAGTTGGCTAAAAAAAGCCCTACCAAACACCCCCGAAATCTTCTGGGAGTTATACCTCCTTCGCAATTCTAAGGATATCAGTGACGTGTGTCACAATGTTGCCTAATTCAATTTTTGATTTAGTTGTCAACTTGTATAATTCAATTTTCAAATGCAAAAGTGACCTAAACTTCTACACAATAGATGGAATGATGCTACACAAAAGTCTCTAGGAAACTACTATGGATTTAGAATCTTCCCAAGATTCTGATGTTTGCCCCAAGGATATTGGCATAATGATGTGTCAAATATTTGTTGAACTCTATGCTTGATGTTTTTGTTTCATTATGGAAGTACTTAGTTATTTTGCAATCATCTCAACAGTAGTCTTATGTGGTATAAATCAATCATAGATTCATAGGCATGCAGTTTAACAATGATTTTGATTTCCAGGATGGAAACAGGTGCTCCTGCAAGGGTGAAACCATTTGGAGTTGAAGTGCGCAATGTAAAGTGTCTTAGATGTGGAAATTTTGGCCACCAAAGTGGTGATCGTGAATGTCCATTGAAGGATGCTATAATGCCCAATGAAGAAAGTCGATTGAAAAGAGATGACCCCTTGACAGCTATGATGGCCCACACAGATTCTAGTGAGGTAATGCTATTTTTTGTTAACATGGTGATGAGCTCAATATTGATTTTAGAGGATTTCCTCTGGCAGACCTGCCCCGGGGTGGGGGTTCTAAGAAGAAAGGTGCAGGCTATTAGCAGCACTCTTCTTAATGTGTTTGAATATATATTAGCTTTCCAAAACATGATGATTAGGGTTGTTTCTTAATTTTTTTTTATGACAAGGCTCAACATCTCCACATGAAATAGAAAAAATTGGAGACGCTGGACTACCCTTGACATCAACTTATTGTGCATCCCTTTTACAATTCACTGCAATAGCTTGTCTCCCCCTTTTCACAACATACTACTCTGTTTACAGCGGCATGCCAGATCAATCCACTACCATTATACCTACTCTATCCACCACCAAAATTTTCTCATTTTAAGCCAACAATCACAGCAAAACCAAATTGTATCACCATGGCACAACAGATGTGATCCAGTCCAATGCTTTCCTGCAAGCACAGTGGGATTTGGCGAAAGTTAACTCATGGCCTGGAATTTATTATCAGTGATTCAGTTCTACTACTACTACTACTACTTTTGTCATTTGGATTTTTTCTGGGCATAACTTGCTCCAATCGATTCCAGTTCTCTAGTAAATGGTGTGGCTACGTGTCAGACTAATAAAGTGACTGTCCAAAGTGATGGTTCAAGCAACTGTGGCTAGCATTTCTCTATGCTATTATTGAAGTTGGCAGTGCTCATTAGTTTGCTGATGCATTCTTATTCTCTCAATGCAAAAGTCCTGATCCTGCATGCAGCTGGTTTTGAAAACAATATCCAGTCTCTTGATTGATGTTTTCTGACTTGTTTTGCAGCCTCTGAAGTGGGAACTTAAACAAAAACCAGGAATGAGTCCTCCCCGTGGCGGCTTCAACCCTGATGATCCCAACCAGCAAATAGTTGCTGAGGACATATTTGACGAGTATGGAGGTAGACGTTTTTTCACTTATGATATTCATTCAAATTTTGGATGCACAGCACAGATGTTTATTGTTGTTCCCATCCATATGTAGGGTTCCTTAGTGGAGAGAACATCCCGGAGTTGTTGGCCAATTTCTCCTCTAGCAAACCCAAAAAGAAGTCCACGAGTAAGAAACACAGTAGGCGGTCATCACCAACTTGCACTGAATCTAAGGATCATAAAGAGTATGGGTCTTTTAACGATGATGATGATGAGAGGAAGAGGTCAAAGATGAGGAAACGTAAGATGAAGAGACACAAGCATTCAGAATCAAGTCCATCAGATGAAGCTGAGTTTGATAGGCATGATGGGTCGTCCGAGGATGATGATGATGATGAGAGGAAGAGGTCAAAGAAGGGGAAAGATAAGAGAAAAAAGCACAAGCATTCTGAATCAAGTTCATCGGATGATGCGGAATTTGATAGGCATCGTAAACGGAGTAGACACAGGCATTCTTATTCGAGTTTGTCTGAAGATTCAGGCTCCGATGAGCGACGTAGGAGCAAGCACCGTCATCGCTCTCGCCATCGGCATCGTCGGTAATCACTATGATTCTTTGTCAGAATGAGATTTGTATATGCTTTAATTTGATCTTGTCGTGGAGATGGCAAATGGACCAGCTTTTTGGTTTAGGTCTATCTGACTATTCCAAGTGTTGGTATCATGCCATTGTTTGGGTAGAGTGTTACTAAGAATTTCGTTTCGCTCTTTTGTTGTTTCCAGTTATACATTATATGAAAATTGATGTTTGATAATTATGAGGAGCCTGAAATCTCCTGTTAACATCTGTTTTGCTTGAATTGTTGTGACGATAATCAAAATTGTATTTCACAAAATGAGAGAGAGAGAGAGAGAGATTTGTCCTTCGATCAGGGTTGCAGCCTGGCTGTTTTTGTTATTCAACATTATTGAGCTTTTTGTAGCTTAGCATCACAATTCAGCTTGGCAGATTGCACATTTGACAGGCAAAGGGAGTTCCATAATTTGCTTAAGTTTTTTGATAAGTTTGAAGTTGTATTTATAAATTGATGTAAAAATAAATTTTATGCAAATAGGCACTGGATATTTTCTTACTTTTTAATTTTAAAATTATATATTAAGATTTCCTAATTATAAAAAATTGTACAAAGTATGAAAATAATATAATTTTATGATTGACAAAATCTAATGTTGTAATTTTAAATTAAAAAAATAAAATAAAATCTAATGATAATTGAGGTGTTTGTAATTCTGTAGAGTTAGCCCGAAATACTACAGTGGTACAAATTTTGATCACATGAATATATGTATATATACAAATTTTTATAAAGAATGCTATGATTTGATAATCACTTTAAAATAAAATAAAAATGATTAATTATATTTTTCATCTTTATAGTTTGATCTAAATTTCATTTAGTTCTTATAGTTTCAATTTAAATAATTTAATCTATATACTTTTAAGTCTAGTGAATTAATTGTTAATTCAGTTTACTTGTTTTCATTTTTCAAAAAATACTTTTTAGAAAATTCTTACTTTCTTATTTTCCGTATTTTTTTATTTTTACTGAATTTTTTTAATATTTTAAGCAATTTTTTTATTTTTTAGACACACTAAACATAAATACACTTAAAAAGTAAAAAATTATAATTTTTTTTTAAAAAAATTCACTAAATACCAAAAATACAAAAAAAAAATACAAGAATTCAGTACATTTTTTATATTTTTATGTATTTATTAATTTTTTAAAATATTTTTTCATAAATTTTTTTATTTTTTAGATACATCTAACTAAGGTGCATCTAAAAAAGTAAAAAAAAAAGTTTAAAATTTAAAAAATATTTACTAAAAACAGAAGAATACGAAAATCAAAAAATTCAATTTTTAAAAAATTTAATCCAAAAAATTCAAACCAAACACACTGTAGAAAATTTAATGTATAAAGAGAAATAGAGAATTGTATTATTGATTGATATAATGTTGTAGTTGATATCTATTACAATGATTCATGATTCCTATATATAGAAGAGGGTGAGTGTGTAGTAGGTAAGGAGTAGGTGAAGTGGAGGTGGTAGTGGTGTAGTGGGTTAGGTTTAGTGGAGTAGGTGTATTATTGATTGATATAATGTTGTAGTTGATATCTATTACAATGATTCATGATTCCTATATATAGAAGAGGGTGAGTGTGTAGTAGGTAAGGAGTAGGTGAAGTGGAGGTGGTAGTGGTGTAGTGGGTTAGGTTTAGTGGAGTAGGTTTAAGTGGGTGAAGGTTTAGTGGAGTAGGTGAGGTGGTAGTGGTGTAGTGAGTTAGGTTTAGTGGAGTAGGTTAGGTGGTAGTGGTGTAGTGGGTGGATTTTAACACACACTGAATAATTTTTAGACACTTGTCACTTTTGGTTCTTTTTTAGATTAAAATTAACAATTTTATTTCTCATACACCCAAAAAAAATTAACAATTTTAAAATGTTTGTTAATTTTATTAAGTGCACACGTAGATAAAAAAAATTTAAAAAAATTAAATAAAAAGAACAAATTAAAATTAAATTTCAAATTTAGGAATTAAATTATTTGAATTAATAAGAATTAAATTATTTAAATTATAAAATTAAAATAAAATTTTGGTAGTGAAAAAGTGTAATTAACCAAGGCGGTAAAAACAAAACGAAAACAAAAAACCCTCTTCCTATTCCCTCCACACACACTCTCTCTCTCTCTGTCTCTCTCTCTAGGGTTTTGGTGTGTGTGAGAAAAAAAAGAGAAGACATGGCTGCTTCGTCCAAGGTTTTCGGGAGGGGTTGCAGAGTTCTGATGGCGGCAGCTAAAAGTTCTGCCGCCGCGACTGCGGCTCACACCGCCGCTGCCACCGCCGCGGCGGCAAATGTTGCTCCTCGTGGGTTGATGAAGCCATTGCGAGTCTCCCCTGCTCTTGGTGCGTTTCTCGGAGTTTCTGAAGCATCTCGCTCTGATGTCGTCAAAAAGGTTTGGCAGCACATCAAGCTCAACAATCTCCAGGTCAACATCTTGCTCTTGATTTTTTTTTTATTTGTTTATTTTTTATGTAGTAGTGTATTGTTTAGTTGTTCTTGCTTAGTAGGCTAAGTATTGTTCTTCGATAGTGTTTGGTTCACTTGAATGAGAACATTCCACCCATATTGGGGATTTACTTGTCATGGGTTGATTTTTATTATTTTTGGTTGTGTATGGATGGATTTTTATATGTGTAGTTGTGTATGTGTCATGTACATATATGTTCATTGCTAGATTGAGAAATGGCCATGGCTATTGCCAATGAAAGTCATGCTGTGATCAGCTGTACAACATAATAAAGTATGACTTGCTCTGTTAAAAGTGATGCATGCTTTGGCAATAGCTGCTGCTTGAGAAATCGGTCTGGGGTTTTATATTTTGCAAGTGATTCACTGCTATCAATTAGGTTCATATTTTGTGTGTATTGTGCTTCTCTCTCTGCCTCTGCATATATTCTCAAATTATTCTTAGAATTTCAAATTATATGTTTTGTTATATTAATGGAAATGAACTTCTTACCTATTGAGAGATACGGTGGCTTATATTAGTTCATGAAAAACTAAATATAGGTCACATAAGGAGGTGTGTGAGGAGGTGGACATTGGGGATGATCATCTTGAAGTAGTGTAACATGAGGATAATCCTATTAAAAGGGATATTTTGGTGGACATGGTGGAAGGAGGGTTCGGGGGAATGAAAGGCTTAAATTGGGTTCTGTCACAGTGCCAGAAGATAAGTTGCTGCTGGGAGGAGGGGCTTTGCCTGGGCCTGGGGTCTCCGATGAAGGATTTGTAAGTGTTGTTGGTTGGAGGGTGGTTTGGTTTTGGGGGAGTGCACACCTCTGGTAGCTAACAGACCGGATTTGGATTGTATATTGATATGATCGAAAGATTTGAAACTATAACGCATGATGATTTTGGGAGGGATGAGTTGGATGTTATGCTTTTGAAGGTTTGATGGAGGAGCTTACAGAATCTGGTCCTAGGGTTGAGCTTGATGGAAGTTAGAGACTTAAAGTGAGGAATAGAGTGAAGGGTAATCTGTAAATTGATTTGGAGTTGGATATGTGGAAGCTCGAAATTCAAGGGGTTAAAGTAATTTTGAATTTTCATTTAATATTGAGGCTAGTGGCCTTTGAATTCTCAAAAAGGTTGATAGATGCACCGGTAAGGTAGAATTGTTTACTGTTAAAAATGATAAGGGTGGTTGTTCGAGAAAAGCACAGTTTAGTGGTTCCATTTCCAAGGTGAAAGAATTGGTGGCTAAACCACTAAAGATGAAAGGGTGGAAAAAAAGAGTGAAGAGTGTATTGAGATTTGTGATAATGCTAAGGGTAAGAAGAAAGACTGAAGGGGGAAATCATCATCAAGGAAGGAGGAGCTAAAAAGACTTCATTGTTCAGTTACTTATGATGGAAATAAGGGTGCTGATGGGAGAAAGGAGAGCAGGTCTTTGGGGGGAACATACAATGAGAAAAACCCATGTAGCTTGTCAATGTGTTCTTTGTTTTTATGGATATTTTAAGAAGTTTAAGGAGGACCATCCGGATGTTACTTCTGTGATGGTAATTGGTAAAGCTGGTGGGGCTAAATGAAAATCTATGTCAGAAGCTGAGGAGGAACTTTTTGTGAAGTTAGCACTTTATTGATGTATTTTTTCAATTGGGAGTGGTTTTCTTTTCATTTTTGGTTTAATGTAGGGTTATTGGAATCATCTGTGGCATCTTTTATTTTAAGTTCTCTTTCTTTTTCTTGTCTCTTTTTTTCTTGATTGTAGTAGGCTTGTGCCACCTCAGCACATCCTCTAATTCAAGTCTTTGTCGCTGATAAAAAGTGTTGTGAAGAACAGAACTGGCAATGCTGTGATTGAATTGATCCATTTCTTGCAATAGTGGCATTCTTGAATTGATCCATAATTTTCTATAAATTGGTGATTTTGAAATAGTTAAATGCTTTCAAAAAAACGTAGTGGATCATAACTGATTCAATTAGCTTTTGGTGGTGTGTCCAAATACCTTGCGAGTTGTGAATGATTTTACTCTTTTGTTGTAAATTTTATTTTCTGCTCTGTTTACAAAATTTGGCTGGGAAACCATTATATATCCATTGTCGAATTCATAGTTGAACTGCCACTCTTGTTAGGTTAAACTTTTTTTTTTGTTATTCCTTTCTCTGTTTCTTTGTTTTTGATTGATGACTGGACTGCTCTAGTATGGCATGACATGACTATTATGTTTTGCAGAATCCTCAAAACAAGAAAGAGATCATTTGTGATGAGAAATTGAAGACAATATTTGATGGTAAAGATAAAGTTGGGTTTTTGGAGATTGCAAAATTGTTGAAGCCGCATTTTGTTGTATCTAAGTGATGCTTCTGTATAAGCATTCTGGATAATTTAAATAGTAGTTTATTTTGTTCTTTTGGTGGTTCATGTCGGAATCTATGATCATGAGTTTTGTTCAGATGCTTTTGTATTACTCGCGTACCATTAGAAGAACGGCGTGTAATGTTTGTCAAAGTGAAGTGTACGACTTGGATTACGTTTAGTTTTATTTACAGTTAAAATTAAAAGTTTTGATTCTGTGATGAGTTTTAATTTTATTTATTTTTTTATTCAGAAAAAAATGATGCTACTTTTTTCCTGTTATATAGAATTCTATACTGAATTAGATATCAACAGCTCTTAGTTCATATGCTTCTGCAGGTAGAAAAATGAAAATGTGTACGCATTTGTGAATTTTACTCTTGACATAACCCTAGTTGGTACATTCTACTCTAAATAAAAATGTTATGGCAATAAGGATAGAACTAGTCCAACATTGATTCCTTCAAATGTGTCCATTGGGCAAATATGTCTTGTGTTGTCTTGAAGTAGTCAATGAAGTATATATTATAGCAATCACGCTGATGAAGGAAAGGAATGAAACATGATTGTGAAATCAACAATGTTACATCCACATAATTTTTCCTTCCAAATTTCTCCTGTAAAATTATGTGTATGAATCATTTTTGTTGTGAAAGTTTCTCATTTTGGCACCTTCTACTCTGATAAAATTGAAACATCTTTTCATTCCCATTCTTCTTCTTTTAGCCCCCCAAGTAGCTCCTTTTTCCATTTCATTCCTTTCTCCTCCTAATAATCCAAACAAGAGGAAATGTCATCATTTTCCTTCTCTCCTTGGGAATATATTCCATCCTTTCACTCCCTTCAAAGCGTCTAAACATATTGTTTAGATTTTAAGCTTCTCAAACTAAAATTGTATTTTAACAGATTTATTACCCATTTTCTAAATTTCATGTTACAAAAAATTTGATATAAAATTTTATAGTGTATTCAAATTTTATTAATTTATTTTTTATTTTAATTGCCACAAGCGATAATTTGATTTGTTTAAGGGAACGAAACGAAACTTAAAAATGTCATGAAAATATAGAGTTCGGAAATAAAACAAGGCAAAAACTTGATATTAAATTTTAGAGTTTGGGATCTTAGAGCATCTCTAACCATTGTTGTTATAATGTCATTGCTACTACTATAATTTGAATATGAATAGTGTTATTTTGCTAAATTAAAGGGACGGAAGCAGCACATAAATTTAATAAACTAATAAGCATAAATTAAAACAAACAAGTTAGTAAATAAACTAAATGAAATATTTTAAATAAGAACAGATAAGGAAATTAAGCTAACAATATTAACTTACACTTGGTTACTGGAAAATACAGAATTGTTTATTGGAAGTAACTAGAAAATACAGTTTCTACTTGCATCTTTGAAAACTAAATTTTATACAAACTTAAAATTTTACAGAGACTGAGAGAAAAATGCGAACTACCTTGGTCTTAACTGAGAAGCCTCTTTTATAGGCAAAGTGGATAACTGTTGAACTTGTGAAACTTGAAACTGTGAGATCCGTGATTCGAGCTGTAAGGCTTGTGACTTCAAAAGTTGGAAAATACTATGAGACTTGTGACTTCTGCAAAACTTGAAAAGAAGAGGTAATAACTGCAGAAAGCATCTTTCCGTGACCAAGAACCTTTTTACACTTTTTTTTTTCTTTTTGTTTCTTTTTTTCTCTTTTTTCCTTGCAGTGAGAGAATGTGACTGCACAGTTGACTGATGGGGAATCAATATATATATTAGCAGCTTTTCTCAAAGTAAGAGTAGTGACTGAAGCTGATTTATACATATATAGAATCCAATGACTGACTATTTAAGCATATGGGTCCTGAACATCTTGAAACTGGGGCCCATAAGGATCATTATTGGTTGAAGCCTCAGAGGAACTGGATTCTTCAGAGGTTTCATCTCCAACCTGTGACTTGGCTTGGGCCATCAATAGCTTGGCCATCTGGATCAATTCATCGCTAGATGACTTGGTCTTAGCTTTGGGCTTTGACTGAGCTTATTTGGATTTGGATGATTTGGGCTTGGAAGAGTTGGTTGTTGGGCTTCCAAGTCTAACTGATGGAATTGGGCTTCCTTGAGTTCCTTGGGTGACCGAAGTAGTTGGGTTCTGCTGAGCTTTGACCATTGCAGGTGTTGGTGCATGGAGATTGACTGGGAATTCTTCTTGAACTTGATCAATTATGCGTTTGGGTTTAAAATTATCCCACTATTTAACAAAGTGTTGGCGAATAACCAGGTTATCAAAAATAGCATATTGCTATTTAAATATCCAGGAGACTTTGTATTTGGATATAAATGAATAACCATGGAAATTGTTTTTGTTGTTGACTGAGTTTAAAAATAGAAGAGAAATAATTTACTTGTTCAATTAAAACAGAAGGGAAGATCTCAGGAATAGCACCATGCTAAGTTCATCATCGAAGAAACCAAGTGGGAAATTCTAACTTGAATTTATGGTCAAATTGGAGGAACCAAGAGTGACTGTATGACTCATTTTGATACAGGAGAGCTTTAAACCACGTATCCATATAGTCATAATAACTATATTGGATTGTATGACCAGGTAAATCTCTGAGTTGAAAAGAAGGACCCTATTCATCAAGAGAAACTATATTGTGGATGTAAAAAGAATGGTAAACAATTTTACTAGTGTATGTACGATCATAGATGGGTTTAATGACTACTGACTGTTGATAAAAGAGAATATCTTTGTAGTAGGTGTAGACGCGCCCGAATGTCCCGGGAAAAATCCCGTTTTGTTCATTGGGCTTACTATAGTTCAGACTCGAATGTCATGGTTCTGAATCTAATCCCGCAAGGTGCAATGCGAGACCGATAAATCACCAAAGAGTCCAAATCCGGCAAATCATTTTGAAAAACATATTTTTAGAAAGAAATGCCAAACATGGACTGCTTTGCCAAATACAGAGTCGCCACCTAAATATTTTGTTTTGGGAAAATTTAGGAAACCCTAACTTGTGCCTAAGGCCACGTGTCCGTTATCACCAAAGTTCCCTTGGCTCGGGAACTTGGGTACGATTGGGGAAGGTCATTTCATGAGCACCCCCGTTCGCCCGATCAAAGATCGGCCACTACTAAGCATGATAACTTGTTTTTGAAAAACACATGTGCTCTTATTCCGGTTATTAACCTAGAATTACTATGTGATGTGCATAACATACAAGTATAGACTAGATTGCCTAAGTTGGAACAAAGCACCGCATATCCGTTTGTTTTAAAAATGGATTGAAGTTTGCTACTCGCAAGTAGGCTAAAACACGGGTTTCGATGAATTATTCCAATTCAAGCAACCCAACCTTCACCCACAGGCATTCATGCAGTTATATCACATAAGCACATAGCCTCATGGTAAGCATGCTATCATGGCAGTCACTCACACACATGCAAAGATGCTAAAGCATAAACACTTACCGACTACTCCGAGCCAAAGAAAGAATCTAATTAGAAAACATGCATGAATCCTAACTATTCTGAGATGCATAATGCAACACATGCAAGAATGTAACTAAGATAGGCTCGGTTATTCTAAGATGTCATGTGAAATGAAACTTGATACATGTGAACAACTTGGGATCGAAATACGATGCAGCTAGTATGATGCGCTGAGCCCGGTGCATGCAAGACAAATGAATGGATGTAATCATGCGAGCATAAGAATGCTAATCGAAACATGCCCTAAAACTAACTATCATAAGCTGGTAAATGAAAGGGAGAAAGATGTGGGGTTGGAAGACATGCATCACACACACGCACACTTATTACAACATTGCCCTCTCTCGGAGGGTCCGAATAAATAATACAGACCGAATAATTAATCAACTACCCTAGCTAATTAAATATTACAAAGCCCTTAAGTAATTAACAAATTAATTACAAAACAATCTAAGTATGAAATTAAAGAGGCTGCCACAGCTCCGCTTCGAAATGATTGGATGATGCATGCTTGATTCGCCTCGCTCGAAAACCCGTTGCCATGCCAACTATTGCCTCTGTTTGCACTGTTTCATGCCTCTGAAAGCTGCACAAGTCCCAAGGCTACTTTTGAACTACTCCCTGAGCACTGTGGGAGGTCATCGGCCAAGAGACAGGACTACCGGCCATGGAAGGATGGTCATCGACCAAAGATGGGGCCATCTGTAGCACGCGCCCGCGAGGGGCCCTCGCTACAGTTCGGACTCGATTCGTGTCACGGTTCTTAATCTGAACCAAAGAGTCCAAATCCGGCAAATCGTTTTGAGAAACAGATTTTTTTGAAAAGAAGTGCCAAACATGGACTGCTTTGCCAGATACAGAGTCGCCACCTAAATATTTTATTTTGAGGGAATTTAGGAAACCCTGACTCGGTGCCGAAGGCCACATGTCCGTCATCACCGGAGTTGTCTCGGCTCTATCCCCAACTCAAACATATATTCCTACTTATAACATAAATTTGAAGCTTGGATGAGTTAAATTCAAATTGATGAGAGAGTTCATTGTTAATTTTCGCTAGTCTACATGCCTACATCAAAACATAAACTGTAATCAAATTTACCAAAATAAACATAAATTGAAGAATTTGTACCCAATACTTATGCACAGTAGACGTCTTGTTTAACCTTTTTTTCCATGACAACCACCTGATTAACAAAGAATGTATATCACCTTGCAACTTAATGTTGCTTATCTCATGCATGGCTCAAAAAGTTCTAAACAAACATTTAAAGGACAAGGAAAAAAAATTACAATCCAAATAAAAGAAAAACTAGAGAGACTGATTAGCAAACTCAGCAACATTAGTATAGTGAAATCAGGAATACTGGCGAAGCCAGTAATAGCCAACGCCATAGCAGGCAACAAACTACAAACAGAAACAACCAACATTCTCTATTCAACATATGTATCCAATAAAGGAAAATCCATAAAACAAAAAAGTTGCAGTTTTCTAGCTATCCAAGCACCTACATATTAAAAGCTCACATCTTTACTTACTAGCATAAAAACCTCTGCACAAGCCTAGGCAAAAAAAAAAAAAAAGCAGCAGCATAAACCTTTCACAAGCCTAGCAAAAAAGCATACAACCATGCACACCCCTAAAGCCATAATCTCAATAGAGGAAATAGAGAACATAATTTTATTTTTATTTATTTTTTAAACATAAGATCCCTGAACCCTCTAA